CCTTTAGTCATCAATTTCATATACCACATTTTCACATGTAGATGCTCTTGGGTAAAATTTCGACCATTTCATAGATAGACTGCAGTCGCCTCATGATCCTTACCTTGACGATGTCTCGTCCTGTTGTTGAACAGTTGTCCTTTTTGATGTCTTCGCTGAATCTCCCAGCCTGCTCAGATCGTACGCGAAATTATCGCTGACTCTTCCCTCTTCCAATCTTCCGTTCATCAGGTTTCTTTGAAAGAGCATGTCCACAGCCTCTCTGATCTTGTGAATCATCGTCTTCTCTCCACATGAGGCCAGTCTTTCCGCTGCATTCCAGTCGATTGTGTGGCCGGTAATGGAGATGCTTTCAGCCATCTCCGATCTTTCCGTATCCATTTTTATGCATAATCGCTGGTGTTCTTTCATTCTTGTGCTGATTGTCCGTTTCGTCTCTCCAATTCATTTGTGTTTACAGTTCTTGTAGTTTATGCTGCAGATTACGGAGCACTCCAAATTTGTTGACCTCTTCCTGTTGTGTGGGAAAACCGTCCTGTAGAATTGTACAAAGGTTTCATTTCCCTCGTATTGGCCGTACCTCAAGAGCCAACTCGCTTCCCTTGCTTCCCTTTTATAATCTCTGTCCTTCCATCTTTTCGTCACCATCCGTATCTTGCGTTGTATTGCCTCTTCTGGATGTCTGTTGCCAAGAGACATCTGGGTTTGTTTTCCCAGAACTCAGAACCAGTAAGTCCTAGGTCCCACATGACCATACTCTGGAATATTCCAATCTTCATTTTATACGTATTGCTCGAGAGGAAGTTAAGAGTTATTCCAGCATGTGATTTCTTTCGGAAAAGTTGTTTATTAAGAGATTCCTCTTATCGAATGACCTCGACATCTGCGAAAGTTAATTGCCCATCCTCCTCCACATTCGTGCTGAATTTGACTTTTTTATCCATTTTATTTATAAAGATCAAGGACTCGTCTAACCTTTCTTTTCCGTGCAACCCAAGTAAAAGGTTGTCGTTAAAATATCGCACAATTACTGTTGGCTGCTGAGGCAACATTTTGCAATTCAGCTCCAAACTTGTTCATGAATGCATTAGCCAACAGAGTTGAGAGTGGTGAGCCCATATATAGACCATATATTTGCTCACATATACCACCTATAAAAATGAAATAAGTAGTTCTTAATGTTAGGATTTTTTATAAAGTTGGAGACATTTTTCGGGTTCTCTCAGTATCCAGGACTACATCTTATTTTCCAAGACCTCCAGTAGTACCGCGAGTGTTTTTTCTTGAGAGATATTGGCTTAGATGGACTGTACATCAAGGTTCAGAAAGAGTTCGTTTCCCTCTAAACTGGTACCTTTGATTCTTGAAATCAAATTCGTATGATTTCTTGACTGTATCATTTTTTGGGTTCGCTTAGTCTCCAGGACAGAATCTTCTTTTCCAAAACCTCTAGTAGTACCGTGAGTGTT